CAGAGCCTGGCAAGCCACCCGTGACAAATTCGATATGCCAGACACAGTAACAACAAAGTCTCCAATGGAGACATTACTGGGCCCGCTCGAACAAATCGATGAACAACAGGAAGATAGTGATAGTGATAGTAATATATATATGCCTCTCGGAGAGCCTGGCAAATATATATATATTTATATGCATATAAATATATGTATATATAAATATAAATATATATATATGCCACCCACACAGCAGCCTGGCAAGTTACCCGTGGCATATTTGATATGCCAAAAATAGTAACAATAACGGGTCTCATTCCCCTGACCCTGAAAGAGCCTCCAATATGGCAGTTTTGTAGGGAAAAACAAATAAGCAGAGGCTGCTAAAATCTCAGGGCTGGGATGAATGGAGACATTATTGGCACCCACTCGAGTAAATCGAGGAACAACAGGGTGACAATAATACAGTGATACAGGATTTAGGGGGGGTATATGTAGTCTTTGGGTTCTAACCTGAGTCAGCCTTGTGCAAGACAAGCGCCCTACCTACTGCACTATCACTCCAACCCACCCAATTCTCTTTTTAAGTAACACTGCCTTGGGGTCAGAGAGAGAGTTTAGGGATTAAAGTGCATGCCTTCCAGGAGCGATCCCTGACCGCAGAACTAGAGCCTGAGCACAAGCCAGCTAGAGCCCCAAATCCCAAACACTGCCCCAACAGAGACACTTCCTTCATGTCACTCTCCCCAGCTATTGCCTATTCTTGAGTCTCTCTCTGACCCATGCTGGAAGGTTACTTCCTGCTGTATTTATGCTCTCTCTCTCTCTCTCTCTCTCTCTCTCTCTCTCTTTGCTTTTGTTTTGTTTTGTTTTGAGGCCATACCCAACAGTTTTCATGGGTTACTCCTGGTTCTGTACCCAGGGATCACTTCTGGAAGGCTCAGGGATCACATGGGGTGCTGGGGATTGAACCCAGGACGGCCATGTGCAAGGCAAGCGTCCTACCCGCTGTACTATTGCTCTGGCCCCTCAATGCCCTGTGTATGCCCATTCCCTTCTCACCCCCGCATCTGCTGCTGGACCACCTCTTCTTTACAACTGTGGTTACCAAGCTCACAGGTGACATCTGTCTTGTCTACCTGCTGCTGCAAGCCCTGCCCTTGGCAGCAGGCAGCAGGGCATTCCTCCTTCAGCCCCTGTGAGATGCCGAGTCCCTGCTGCCCCTATGTCTCTGCTGTATCCCCACTGTCTTCTCTGCTATGATGTTGCTTCTCTCCCATCTCCTTTGCTGCCGTGATTCCCAGCTCCCATTCCTTCGCTTCCTACCTCCCCGCTTAGAGAATTTCTTCCAGTTTCATGACTGCATGCATCCTTACACTCCTCAATACCATCCCAATGCTGACCAAAATATTCAGTGGGCATCTTGGACTTAGGTCAAATAATTTCTCACCCAAACACCTCAAAGAGAGAGAAGGTGTTAATAACTGAGTAGGGCTCCAGACAGAATTCAAACCATCTCAGGCAAACAGAGCCATCTGTTCATCCTGTATCAGCACAGTGTGCATTTCAGTCAGAGCACCTTCATGGAAGTCTGGTCATTCTTAAAATCTGTCCCTTGGTCCTCAGAAGTGGACCCAAGGCTTCCATGCCAGAATAGAGAAGAGGCTGGTGGATCTCATGGTGATGATGATTCTCTGTGGACTTGGATGAGGAGTAGACAGTGGCTCTTGATGGGCCTGGTAGCCAACAAGCAATCGATTCTTTTTTTTTTTAATTTTTTAATGAATTACTGTGAGCTATAGTTACAGACTTACAAATTTCCGTGCTTACGTTTCAGTCATACGATGATCGAGTACCCATTCCTCCACCAGCGCCCATTCTCTACCACCAATGTTCCCAGTATCCCTTCCACCAGCAATTGATTCTTGAGGACATGCAAACTTGAATGATTTTTTATGACAATGTCATCTGATGATCCTGCCCTGACATTGAGTGTGTGTGTGTGTGCGTGTGTGTGTGTGTGTGTGTGTGTGTGTGTGTGTGTGTGTGTGTTTGGGTCAAACCCAGCAATACTCAAGGATTACTCCTGGCTTTGTACTCAAGAATTACTCCTGGTGGGCTTAGGGGACTATCTGGGTGCAGGGGATCAAGCCCAGCTCAGCTGCATATGAGGCAAGTGCCCTACCCACTGTGCCTACCCCCTCCGGCCCATCCTCAGGATAGTACCAGCAGCTTTAAGGAACTCTGGGAATCACTGACACTGGGAGAAGGTGAGTTAGGAGAGAAGGACGGCTCCCCTTCTGCCTAGACCTTTTCATCCCCAAACATGAGCAGCTTCTACCCTGCCTTATATAAGTGAAGAAATAAAAATAAAATAGGTCCCTCACGCTGATTTCCAGCTCAGTAATACACATTTTCATAAAATATTCTCTCTTTGGTTTTCCAGCATCCGGGATTGAACACAGGGCCTGCACACATGCTGTGCATATTCTCAACCACTGAGCCTTGCCCAGCCTTCCTTTTAACCCAGGAATTTGTTGTTTGTTTGGATTTTGGTTTTTTGAGCCACATCTGGAGGTGCTTAGGGCTTACTCCTGGCGCTGTGTTCAGGAATCACTCCTGACAGGACTCAGAGGACCATATGGGGTGTCCAGGATCAAACCAGGTTAGCTGCATGCAACTATGTCTCTGGACAATCTTTCTGGCCCTGAAGCCCAGGAATTTGAGTAATGAACCTCACCATCCTTGAACATTTCTCTGCCTCACCTCCCATACGATCTCTTCAGGAATTCTAAACTACCTACAAAATAAGTCTGAATTCTGTCACTTTCCTTCATTTCCACAGCCAACTCCATGGGCCAGGTTGTCTCTCTCTTTTCCCCCACGATCTTGTATCCACACTTGCACTTTAAGAACCTCTACAATCACTTTTCCACACAGCAACCACATCAGCCTTGGAGAACAGAAATGACAGTCCCTGACAGTTCAGTCTCCTGTGGGAAATAAGCAAGGCCATCCCCAATTGAAAACAGGAAGTGGAAGTGGAAGGAAGGATTCCAGACACTAGAATCTGATTCCTTTAAGGCCAGATTCAAAGGCAGGAAAATCCCATGCGCTGTTAGTCGTAGGAGAGGTGAGGACTCTTCCTGACTGGGGTGTTGGTTACAGCAGAGTGTTTGGTTCATGAAAAAAAAATAAGCATTAGACTTACATACAGGTGTGACTTTTTGGCATGCAAGTTTGGCATTTGGCATGCACGTTTGAGACAGTTTTCCTTCATTCCTTCCTTCCTGCTACCTATCCTCCCTTTCTCTCTCCCTCCCTCTCCCTGTCCCTCCCTCTTCCTCCCTTCCCCCTTCTCTCTCTCTCTCTCTCTCTCTCTGATATCTCTTATCTTTTGGTCATGCTGGGCATCAGATCTGAGCCTCCTGCACCCCATGTCGGCGCTCTCCTTATCAAGTTCCTTTCTGACCCCGCACTCTTCTTAGTGCAGAGCTGGCTGGATGGCACTCCCATTTTTGGCACTGCTTCATACCTGGATGTGACATGGCTGGCAATCACTTGCTGTGTCAGGGAACACAGACAGCAGAGCTACCCTGGGCACCAAGAGCAGAGCGACTTGGATTGTGCCCAGCCCACGTGGGACATCAGTGATTTTAACGCATGATTCTAGCTTGTGAGGAAGGCACTCCAGCCCCTTGCAAGAGTCCTCTGGGCCCACAATGTATTGTTTGCTCATGAAAAATCAACAAACAAACAAGAGCAGGGACTGGCGAGATAGTACAGTGGTCAAGGGTCAAGTGCTTGCCATGCACACGGCCAGCTTCAATCCCTGGCACCACCTAAGATCCCCCAAGCAATACCAGGAGTGATTCCTGAGTGCAGAGCAAAGGATTAACCCTGAGCACCACTGGGTGTGGCCCCCAAACCAAAATCCAAAAACAGGGGCTAGAGCGATAGCACAGCAGGTAGGGCATTTGCCTTACACGTGGCCAACCTGGGTTCTATTCCCAGCATCCCATCCTATATGGTCCCCCACGCAGCACCAGGAGTAATTCCTGAGTGCATGAGCCAGGAGGAGTAACCCCTGTGACCCAAAAAGAAAAAAAAAAAACAACTAAAAACCAAAAATAGAAGTGAAGTGAAACAAACCAAAATCACAGACTCCCAAAGACTTCAGTCCCATTTCTGACGCCTTCTTCCTCGCTTGTTCCCCTCCTGCTCATCACGAAACGTCCAGCACACTTGCACACTTTCTGAACACCCCCTCCCGCCAGCTCCCCGGTGCGGTGCTCTTGGCTGAGATCTCCAGCTGAGATGCCATCTCTGCTGCCAGCCCCTCCCCAGGGAGCCCTTTTCTCCACCTTGCCCTGGATTTCCTGCTCTCTTCCCCGGCTGCTTCCCACCTTCTGATCCAATCCACTTGCTACTGTCCTACCCAAATTGCTCTCAGTCTCTCTCCCTTTCAGGGAGACCAGTAGTGCCACCACCTGGACCCCCCTGCTCACATTCACAGACAAGGGCCCACCCACGTGGACCCTCAGACTCCCCCCAGCCCTGTGCCCATCCCTCCCCCCCATCACTTCCCCAGATCTTCAGGTGCTGACAGCCTCCAGCTGGAGCCCAGCACTCCCGCCGCCTGCCCCCCGGCTGGCGGGCGCCAGTTTCTGGCAGAGGGGCAGGCGTGTAATTAGAAACTGCGCCAGCTCCTTAATTGCCAGTTCTTCTCCCAAACCAGGAGGCCTGTGCTATTCTCAGCCGCCCTGGAGGCCATTTCCCTGAGGCATGCGGAGAGGAACGGGCTGAATGCAGAGCCTGGCTAGGTAGAGGCGGCTTTGCCAGAAGGAGCCAGGCTAGAGGGAGCTGCCTGGTGGAGAAGGGCTGACCAGTGGTTAGTTCAAACATGGTGGGGGGGGGGGGCTGTAGCCGCCCCTCTGGGCCCCCCTCTGCACCTTCTCTCCTCCTTCTCACCCCACCCTTCCCATCTGAGCCCAGAACAGTGACATGGAGACAGCCAGCTCCATTCATTCTTTATTCAGGTGGCATAAAAATCACTACAAAAACTTTACAAAAGAGAGCAAAGGGACCCTTCCCTGTCAGCCTCTAAGACCCCACGCAGAGGAGGAAGACACGAGAGAGGAGGGCAGGGCACCCACCCTGTGGGGGTCTGTGAGGGCCAGCAGGGAGACTGAGGTGCTGGGGGTCAGACATGATGATGGAAGCAGCTCATATGGCATGTCCCACCTTCATGTCCACAGCAGAGCCAGGTTGACCTAGAGGGTCCGACCCCAGGCTCTGCCCCGCCACCCCGAGGATGTCTCCTTGGCCCGGGAGAGCAGCCCATAACCCCAGCCCTGCCTCTCGGGAAAACCCTCATGGAGGTATTCCAGCTCAGTCAGGGAGGAAGACCCCGCTGCCTTCCCGACCAAAGTGGAGCCACTCAGCCCCAGTGGGCACCTCCGCCCCGGCCCCAGCCCCCCGCTGAGCCCCGAGAAGAAATGACTCGGGATCACGGCCTTCGGCTCCCGCCTTCTGCCAGCCAGTTTGGAAAGGGTCCCAGAAGTTGAGAACCCCAGCCAGGTCTCGGGAAGCTGGCGGCCCCTGTCCCTCACTTGGGGCTGCTGGGCTCGGGGTAATCCTCCTCCATGCGGGGCATGAGTTTCAAGATGCGGTCGAGGGACTTGTCTCCATGGGCAAACACTTTCAGGAGGTGGTAGATGTCGTCATCCCTGTCGCTGGGGGCATCCTGCTGTTCCTTCCGCTCGGGCGATAGGCTGGGGCTGGGGTTCCTCACACTGCCCACGAAAAGGGGCAGGCCCGTGGTGTCCTCCAGGATGAAGAAGAGGAAGGGGCGGTTCACGCTGAACGCCGACAGGGACATGCGGGACATGGCGGTGCCCGTGGCGGCCGCCGCCTCCACGCCCACCTCGCTGAGCTCCAACGTGGACTGATGCTGGACACTGGACACCACCAGGCCCTGCTCAGAGATCCCCCGCAGGTCTGGGGCCTCAAACAGCTCCTGCAGGCCTGGCAGGGCAGGACACAATGGGTCAGAGCCACCTTCACAGCCCAGCATGCCTGCCTCCTGGCCAGGGACGATAAGCCCACAAATATCTGGTTGGCTCCCCACTCTACTTTTAAATGTCATTCTAAGAGTCACTTCCTCCAGGAAGTCTTCGCAGATGCCCTGGCCCTAAGCCCCAAAAGGCACCTCTTCAGTGTTCTCTCAGGTAAACTAGAGATAAGCCTCCTGACTAGTGAGTCATGGTGAAATGTAGGCACCTGATTCCTCTTCTGCTTACCACATTACACTGAGTTCTTTGCCCATGGTGGACTCTCAGTACCGGAATGGACTAGCTGCTTAGCAAACATTCTTGGGGAAAATACATGACACTCCTCAAGAGCATGATGCTCTGGTCAGAGCGATAGTACAGCTGGTAAGGTGCTTGCCTTGCATGCAGTCGACCCAAGTTTGATCCCCGGCATCCCACCGGGTGCCATGGGCACTGCCAGGAGTAATTCCTGAGTGCAGAGCCAGGAGTAACCCCTGAGCATCGCCGGGTGTGATCCAAAAGCATACAAACAAACAAAAAGATAGCATGATACCCCTTGGGGTCGGAGCGGCAGAATGGTGGATAGGACGCTTGCCTTGCAAGCAGCCAAGCTAGATGTGATCCCCAGCACCCCATGTGGTACCCCCAAGTCTGCCAAGAGTGAGCCCTGAGCACAGAGCCAGGAGTAAACTCTGAGCATCACCCAGTGTGGTCCTGAAACAAAGTAAACAAAAAAGCATGATATCCCAGCTTCTCCACCTGCCTATTCTGAGACCCCCAGGGAGCGGCCATTCCAGCACCACTTACCCCCTCCCCGACCCCCATCTCACACAGCACCAGGATTCTCTGCAGTGTGCAGGCTGCGCCAGTCCTTTTCCCTGAGTGGCCCCAGACCACCCCAGGACAGAGCCTGTCTCACATCCCTGGGCCCTAGGTCAGGACACAAGCCTCTCTCTGGGTCAGCCCGCTGCAGTGGGCCTCCTCCTGCTGCAGGCCATCCAGCTCCTTACCCAGCTGGCTGAGGGTGGCCACCAGGTCCAGCTGGTGTTTGAGATGCAGCTTGGGCAGTTTGACCTTCGTGGGCCTCTCCCGCAGCAAGGGCGGGTGCAAGGTGTCCCAGCTCAGGTTGGCCAGCACCTGGGATACGTTCCACTCAAAACGGGTGGGCAGCAGGACCACGAAGCTCATGTTGTTCTTAAAGGGGAAGTGAGCCACCTGCAGACAAGGGAGCAGGGCGGGTATGAGAGAGGGCTCCATCACCTTCAGCTACTTCCTTCTCTGCGGGCTATGTCACACTTCCTGCCCGTGTGGCAGGGGACTGAAAGAGAAGTGCCTTCAAGCTTGAAGGAAGGTTTCTCTCTTCATCTGCTACCAGCCAGCCCCAGGGCCAGGGGGGGAGCGTCCTGCTGTCTCAGACACCTCCCTGGGCTCAGTGGCCTGGATGGTTGGTTTCCAGGCAATTCTGCCGCAAAAGGAGATGCTCTCCCCAACCTTTTCCCTGCAACAGTGAATGGGCCCACGTGGCTCTCCCTACGATGGCTTGGGGCATGAGTTCTTGGGAGTCCCCAGGAACTGGATTCTGCAGCAAGACTAGGGCCCACTGGCCTCTGGGATCTGTGACCCCATGGCCTGCAGGCAGCAGGGCTCCTACCAGTGGGAAGAGGGGGTTCACATCTGTCAGCCTAGGCTGCGTGCAGAGGACAGAGGAGTCCTGGCGGGAAGGGAGAGTGTGTAGGACACAGTGGGAGGGAGGGAGGGTGCCGTGGAGAGAGAGACAGGCGTCTGGAGAGACTCTGAAGAGAAGCTGGGATGTGCTTCCCAGAGTGTGGAGGGTCACTGTGATGATGTCACACAGCCCTGTGAGACACCCAGCACTGTCCTCTCAGCCACAGTTGAGGGGCCAAGGAACAGGCTGGGCCGGAGGGACCACAGTGAGGCCAGAGTAAGGGAATGGCTCCTGCCAGTGCAGACCAAAACAGCCAGAACCAGCATCAGGACGTGGGTGAGCAGTTCAGATGGGCCCTCCCCAGGCAGGTGTGGCTCGGGGGGCCTGAGAGCTGGCTCTGTGGCTGCTGGCAGGTCCCTGTATGGTCCCACAATCCATGGGTTCTTATAAAAAGATCCCAAAACCTAAGGCCATCTGGTTCTCAATTCTCCACCCATTCTATTTAAATAGAGACTGTCCCAATCAATAAATCGTCATTTTTTTTTAAACTCTTGTCCTTTGTAGCACTTAACACTTCCTGAAATCATTGTGGTTTCTATTTGCTTAGGTGCTGAGTGTTTTCCTCCCTGAGCACAGTGATCTGGTCTCCCCTGCGCTCCACTGAACCCCTAGTGTTTAGAACAGAATCTGACATACAGAGAATACCCACTATCTTTTGGTTGTTGAGGGAACACCTAAGAATCTGAGGCCTTAAAAATTAAAAAACAAAACAAAACAAAAAACACAACTGAGGCTTGTGTACCTGGAAGAGGGCAGAGTGAGCGTTCTAGAGTTTCCTGTGCCCCCCTATCTCCCACTCCCCACCCCCCCACGTCTTCCCCACAGGCTCTGCACTCCCTCCCTCCACCCAGGTCCAGCCTGGGCACCCCAGAGACCTGTATCTCAGGCTGCTCCAGCAGGAACCAGCGCAGCGGGTAGGAGTGGGCCTGCATCATCTCCACCTGCACCATGAACTGCTCATCCAGATGGAAAACATCCCTCTTGGTGAGGTTCGGGTCAAACTTGCTCCTCCAGAAACCTGTATCCAGCAGAGAACGGGGAGCAGGACTGCTGGGCCTGGGTCATCCGTCTCTTCCCCATCCCACCTAGAAGCCACTCGGGATGAAAAGCGGCAGTCAAGCCCCCAGGGGTGCAGAGCGGAGAGGTCTTCCCTGCAGCTACTGGGAACCTGCACTCTGATGGCCCAGAGGTCCCGCTCAGCCCTCCTGGCCCTGTGGAGGAAGAGGGACCCTGGGAACTGAGCAGGGACAGGGCAGGGATAGGGAATGAAAGGGAGGGGACAGGAAGGGGGAACAGGGCGGGGAACAGGGTGGGAACAAGGCAGTGATAGGGCGGGGACAGGGTGGGGGGGCAGGGCAGGGATAGGACAGGGACAGGCAGGAATAGGACAGGGAGGGGCAAGGATAGGGCAGGGATAAGGGGGGATAGGGCGGGGACAGGTGGGGGTGGACAGCGCTAGAACGGGAGGGTGGGGCCGGGCCGGGCCGGGGCCAGGGCCTGTGGGGCGGGGCTGGGGCGGGGCCAGAGCGGGGCCGGTCCGGGCTGGGGCGGGGCGGGGCGGGGCGGGGCGGGGCCAGGGCGGGTGCAGTCCCTGGTGTCCAGGCGGAGGTGGGTGCGGCTGGGTTGAGCTAGGGGTCCGCACCCTGGAAGTGGATGGCGTTGAGCAGCAGCAGCACCGTGTCCTGCGGCAGTTCTGAGAGGAAGTTCTCGATCTTCCCCTCTGTGGCCTCCTTCACCCAGTGGTTGATGTTCTCCAGGTCCTCCCCCTTCCTTCCCGTCAGGCTCACGGGCTTTGCGCCAAAGATCTGTTCCGACTGTTCCAGGAAGTCCTCTTTGATGGGGAACCCTGCACAGAAGCAGCATCGGCTCAGCCCGACACCCTCGCTCCCACCCCAGGCGCTCGCCAGGTAGCCAGCACCCACCTTTCTTCAGGTACATCCTGGCAGCCAGGCGGAGTGCCCCGGGCCCCAGGTCCTGGCAGAGGTGGCTCAGCACGGAGGGGAGGCAGGGCTCCGAGTCCACGCGCAGCACCTGCAGCAGCCTCTGCAGCGTCTGGTTCTGGGCACCTGCGGGCACCGCGCAGGCTGGGACCCGGGCTGCAGCCCCGGCCCACACCAGGCCCACCAGGGACCCCGCGTGCGGATCCGAGGGACAGGACTCCCCAGTGTACTTCCTGCTCCGCAGCTGACCCTGGTGGTCCCCTCACCTCCACCAGCCACCTTCCCTCGTGCCACCCACCAGGAGACGTCCTGCCCTGTGCAGACACTGGACCCAAAACACCGTTTGCAGATCCCCAACCAACACGCGGGAATCTGACTTACGGAGATGGTGGTGGCCTGGGGCTCTGTGTTCCAGGGCCCCCGATCGGGATCTGTGAGCCCAAGGGCCGTGCTCCCCGAACCCCCCAGTCCCTTGTCCTTGGAGAGTGAATTCCTGCTGGCCCCCCGGCTCTGCTAGTCCCAACAGGGGCGGCACCAGTACCTAGCGTCAGATGAGACAGTGCCAGGGCCACGCTCAGAGGTGACAGGATGAGGTTGGGACTGTTGGATGTTTGGGCCACCAAGGAGAAGAGGTCTGTGGTGAAGACCATCATGGCCTGCGCCAGTTTGCGTATCTGTTCTGGGGTGGGGGGCCCCTTGCAGTTTCCTGGGGCCCTCTTCAAGATATTGCGGTCATCAGCCTCCTGCTGGGGGTGGGGGGAGAACTGAGCAGGAGTCCGTGAGGTCAGGGGCAGCTCCCCCCCCCCATTTGGTTGAAATTGTCCTGCAAGGCCCCCATGCCTTGGGCTTTGTCTTAGTTGAGACAAGGCAGGAGAGGGAGAGTCCCCTGGAGGAGGGATACTGGGGCCCCTCCCCCACCCTCAAGCCCACCCACTCGCCCCCAGCCCACCTGGTTGTACCTGGTTGCCCAACTTGAGGAAGGTGAGAGGGGACAGCCTCTCCTGGGTCTGCCCGAGCCCGTGCTGAGGAGAGGAGGAAGCAGGTGGAGAAGGACGCTTCCCCCCCCGCCCCCCGCCTCCACCCACAGGCCCGAGGGGGATGCTGCCCATTCCACGTGCACCAGGCACCCCAGGTACCTGATAGTTCAAGGGCTGCATGGCTGCCACAGGAGAGAACTGTGGAGAAAAGGGACAGGGAGAGGCAGGCAAAGCCCTCAGAGCCTGAATCTCCAGGAACTGCACCAGCTCCGGCCCCAGCAGCCCAGGTCCTCCCCACCCCCGGCAGGGACACTCTTACCGCTGAGCAGAGGCCTTGCAGGCAGGACAAGCTTAGCACCAGGAGCCCCGGGAGCGGCGCCATGTTCCTGTCAGGGACAGAGTGCTCAGTTCCCGCCTCGCCCCACACCCACGTGCGCCCTGGGACGTGGTGTGCTGCCCAGGGGCGGGCCAGGCGGGCGGTGCAGCCCAAGCACAGTTCCATGGCTCTCCGCTCTGAGATAGTTGCCCCTTTTTATATTTTCTGATTTCACACACACACACACACACACACACACACACACACACACACACAGGGGTAGGGCGCTCGCCTTTCACGCGGCCAAACTGGGTTCCATCCCTGCGCCCCTGAGCATCACCAGGAGTAATTCCACAGCATAGCCCAGTGTGGCCCCCGAAAAACAAACAACAACAAAAAGCCCCAAAAGTTCTGATTCTTCCAGACTTGGAGATTTGATGAAAGATAGGATTGACTCCAGGCTCTGCCTCTGGCCCCGGGGGGCTTGGCTGGCTTCCTGACCCCTCAGGCTTCATGTTGGCTCACACAGCCAGGCCAGTTGACTCAAGGAGCCCCTGGCCCCTGTCTCTACCAATACCAGCACCATCAGGTATGGCCTCTGTTCAGGCCATTAGATAAAAAATAAACAGGTCGGGGCTGACCAAAGGGCTGCTTGTTTGCAACAGACTCCGGTTCACTCCCCGGCAAGTTCCCCAAACACCAGGCTGGGAGCAGCTTCTGAGCGCCACCAGGGATGACCAAAAGAGAAAATACAAAAATAAATAAAATGGCACTAAGCGTTCCTGACTCCCACGTGGACAGTGAGTACCATAGGAGCACAGTTTCTGTAAACCCCACCAGAGTCAAAAGCACCTCTTCCAGGAAGCGAAGGCACCTGTGCTCTTGGGCTCCTCTCCCAGGACCCTTTCCACCCTGTAGTCTGCAGGGCCAGCCTTTTCCCTCGGCGCTGGTGCTATCCAGAGTGGACAGGGCTGGGGGGCCCAGGAGACTGGGGGTTGCGGGACAGCACCAGAGGGTGGCCCTGTTGGTCAGGGCAGAACCCAATGAATGACGGGCAGAGCGACCTTTGGACTTAACGGGAGTCACTGGCCTGCCTGCAGCAGGTCCCCCATACCCCCGCTGCCCCTTTCCCAAGGCCGGTCTTTCTGGAGGATTTCTAGAATTCCACCTCTACCACACAAGGCCCCAAACTAGGCTTGGGCTCCTGGCAAGAAAAGCCCCCCAGGCCCCACCTTGACTCCTCAGACCCCAGGAGTCTGGAAGAGTGCGGCCCCCACCTCCATCACGTTTAGCCCAGGCCTTGGCAGCGAGGTGCACAGCCCCCTACCTCTTCTGCCTGGGAGTCGCTGCCAGCCTCCTCCTTGCTGCCCGGCACGCACGCTGTCGCTCTGGCCCCACCTGGATGCTCCCCAACCTCTGTCCAGGCTCCTGCCAGGACAGCCGGGCCCTCCCTCCCACCAGGACCTTTGCTCTGGCCAACCCCCGACCCCAGTGCTTTCTCTTCTGGTAAATATTGACCTGCGCATCCGGTTAAACATTGATACTGGGGCCAGAAGCCCCTTTCCCATCAGTGTGCCTCATCCTGGAAGTGACCCCCGGGAGCTGGGCCCCACCTGAGCTAGAGAAAGGAGGGGCTGGAGACAGTCGAGGCTGTCAGGAGCAGAGGGACAGACACCTGGTGCCGTGGCAGGCTCCCCAGACCCGACCAGCAGGGCTCAGGCTCGGAAGAACCACGTGACGTGCGTCAGGGCACGGCTGAACTGAAGCACACCAGGTTCCCGCTTCCAGCATGCCAGTCCCTCTTCCCTTACTGCCGAGAAGCAGGAGGAGCGGGAAGGGGAGGCCAGCACAGGCCCAGCCCTCCCACCCTGTCCTGGTTGGCTGTCCCCAGGCTGGATGCAGAAGATGGCCGGGCCAAGGCCACTCCCTGCTGCTGTCCCAGCCAGCCATGTGTGTCCTCGGGGCTCTGCAATGTGGCCTGTGGCAGCATCGACAAGTCTCCCTCTGCACCAGAGGAGCCCGAGCAGGCCACCAGGCCCCCCACCCCATGCCTTGCCCTCCTCTCAGAGCCCCAGAAGCTGCCAGGACCCACCTTTTCCCATCCTGGCACCGTCCAAAGAAAGCCTCATGAGGTCAGGGATGTCGCTTAGTGGAAGGGCATCTGCCTGGCATGCACGAGAGCCTGGCCTCCACCCCCTACTATAGCACTGTCCTCTTATTGTTCATCGATTTGCTCGAGTGGGCACCAGTAATGTCTCCAGTAATGTCTCCATTGTGAGACTTGTTACTGTTTTTGGCATATTGAGTACGCCACGGGGAGCTTGCCAGGCTCTGCCATGCAGGCGAGATACTTTCGGTAGCTTGCCAGGCTCTCAGAGAAGGATGGAGGAATCGAACCGGGGTTGGCTGCGTGCAAGGCAAATGCCCCTACCTGCTATGCTATCGCTCCAGCCCACCCTCCACACCGCAGAAAAACACCCAGCTCTCCTGGCGTTCCATGGCTTTCCCGCAGGATTTATTGGTTATATTTACATCTATTGCAAATGTGAGGAGGCGGCAGGGCCTGCCCCAGACCTCATCTCTGGTCTGGAATTGGGGCCCAGGAGTGCTCTGGGAGAGACCTGAGATGCAAAGGATTCTTCTCACCCCCTTCTCTCAGGGCTGTGGGCCACCTCCCAGGGATGGAGGGCCGGGGCGGGGGGCCGCCTCCTCGGCTCAAGGCACAAACACTGTGGTGGGGGGGCAGGCAAGGCAGAGGGGTGCTCCTGCTGGGCACCAGCCGGTCCAGTCCACCTCCCTCTCCCGCTCTGCCCTCTTCTTCCCATCTGCATTCCCACCCTGGGCAGGGCCAGGCTGGGTTAGACTCCAGCTCGAGGCTCGTAGCTCCTGGGCTACGGCCAGCTCTCGGGAGCCTGGCAGCCCCGGGTTTCTCTGTCCCTGCAGAATGAGGAAGACAGAATCCAGCTGGGGAGGGGGCGTCTTGGCGGAGAGGAGCAGGGCCGGGCCCATGTCCCCTCCCTTCCCAGAACGCCCCTCTCCCAGGTGGACACAGCGGGCAGAGCGCAAGGGCGCCTTCTCCCGGCTTCCTGCCGGCAGTACAGGTCCGGGGACTGGTCTGGAAGCAGCTGCAGGGGGGAAGCGGGGAGGGGAGGTTAAAGGGAGGGGTGTCTGCTCATCCCCACCCCCCCCCAGTCTAGGCCAAGAGGCGGATGACGCCATTGTCCGAGCCCAGTAGGAGGTGCCGCTTGGTGGGCAGCAAGGCCAGGCTGGTGAGTGTGCCCTTGAAGTTCTCGGAGCTGAGCTTGGTGGTGGCCTGCGAGGGCGGCTCGAGCAGCGAGCAGACACCAATCTTGTTGGCCACAGTGCCAGTGACCACCTCGTTGCCGTAGAGGTCGAAGGTGTGGATGGGGTCGGAGGCCGACTTGTAGTGGTGCGTGGGCTTCTGTTCCAGCTCCTTCCACACGGTCAGGGAGTGATCGGACGAGGAGCTGATCAGGACGCTGCCCTCCACGGCCTGCCCAGGGACAGCAGAGCCTCAGTGGGGCCTGGATGCTGACCCCTCCCTGGTCCCTGGCACATGCCCAGCCCCAGGGTCTTCCTGATGCCTCCCATAGTTCCCAGCAAGGCAGTGCCCTGAGTGTGGTCAACCCCCCCACCCTTGCCCCCGGCGCAGCCGCCCCACAAGCATCAAATTAGGGGGTGAATCAGTGGTGAGTCAGCCTGGCCATCACTGTAACTAAGCACTCAGTCAGGCCTCACCGTAGTCCGTCTACAGGGGACTGGAGCGACAGCACAGAGGGCAAGGCGCTTGCCTTGTACATGGTAAACCTGGGTTCGATCTCCAGCACCCCACGTGGTCCCCAAGCCCTGCCAGGAATCAGCCCTGAGCACTGCCGGGTATAGCCCCAAAACAAAACAAAACAAAAAAAAAACACTATGAGGTAGCTGCTGTCCCTGTTTCCACTTTACAGAACAAAACACTGAGGTTCAAAAAGATCCAACAACCCAAGCAAGGTCATAGGGCCAGCAGGTGATGCCGCCGAGTGACACCCAGGCTGGATCTAGAACCTCCTTCCACAGTCCCAGAGAACTGGAGTGTAGGAGCAGCTCCAGTCCAGGGTTCCTGGAGAAAGGACCCCCCCTGGGAGAGGCCTAGGCAGCTGCCTCCACCACTGAGAGAGCCCGTCCCTGGGTGGAGGACCCCCCCCCCCGTTCCTCTCTGGTGCCTCCCCATGATTGGGATGACCATGATTGGGAACAGGGCAGCCAGCAGGATTCCCGTGCCAGACTTGGCCCTCTCCCGCATAGGGCAGCCCAGCAGGGGGCATGGACTCTGCTCAGTGGTCTGGGGGCAGTAAACAGTCGCTCAGCTGAGCTTTATTTAACCTGCGCTGGGTCACGGACACAGCCCGACCCCTGATGGTCCAAGCAAGACAAATATGGACAAGGGTTACTCATTAGAACAGCCCGGGGAGCAGCAGCGTCAACTCGGCCCCCAGGCCTCCGCCCCCAAGGCTACCTCCTGCCAAGCGCCCCCACACCTCACATCCCCCTGCAAAGAAACTGGCCCCACCCCTCCCTGCCTGTGGGTTCTGGGGCGGGGGTCAGGGGGGACCCGGTTCTGCCCTGAGCTGGGGAGGGGAAGGGGAGCCGGGGCATCACCTTGATCTGCAGGATGTCCCCTTCGTGGGCCGGCCAGCCTCGAAGAACCAGGCCTGTGCGTGTGTCCAGAAGCACCATGAAGCCCGAGGAGAAGCCGGCCACGACGCTCCGGCCGCTGGGGCTGACGGCCAGGGAGCGGACAAGCCCAGGGTTCAGCCCACCTCCCAGGCGGAACTCATGCTGCGGGAAGGGAAATACGGACGCTGAGGCGGCCCCACACTGCTCCCCGCAGACCCGCTCGGTCCCCAAGTCCACCCAGTGGAAGAACTAAACCTTGGTTCCTGCCCGCCCCCCCCCGCCCTGGCCCCATCCAAAGGCCAGATGGCCACCCCCAGGGTCTGCTGCTGCCGCTGCTGCTGGCAGGTCTCCCGAGACAAACGATGCCCTGGCCCTCCAGCTGGGGTTGCTCCTCCCGACACACCCGAGCTCAGGGCACTGAACACCCCTGACCTGCAGGCCAGGCTTCCTGCAGTCCACAAAGCGCAGAGTGGAGTCTGAGCTGGCCATGGTGATGCTGGTGTGGGGGGCGGGCATGAGCGCCACCGCTGTCAGGGGCATCCGGCTGTCTGAGGGCTCCACCGTGCGGATGGTCTTTCCTGGGAAGGAAGGCGGGCAGGGTCAGCAGATCTGGGTCCCAGCCATTGCCGAAAGCGCCTGCCTCCCCCAGCCTCTGGCCTGCTCCCTTCCTGCTGCCTGGATTCCAAAAGCCTCTGGTCCCCACATCCCGTGTCTACGGCCAGACAGCACTTCCCCCCACCCCCCAGGAGTAGCCTGGTCTCCACACCACAGTCCCTCCCCATTATCTGCAGTGCTGCTTCCCCACCCCTTCCAACCTGATATCCCACCCCCCAACGAAGATACATGTGAAGACTCAAGCAAGCAGCTAAGGAACGCAGCACACGCTGCAGGCTGAGCCAATCTCTCTGTGCGATCACTTCCCAGACAGCTGCTTCAACATGGAAAACGGGATCTTCTGATGCTAGGCAACTTGCTCCAGGCCACTCGGCCAGGGAGTTGGTAGAGTCGACCCAAAAGCAGGTGGCCTGGGTTCAAGGTCTGGCTCTTCTGCGTAGTCTTGATGGGCATACTCTGGAACTACAGAGTATGCCCACCCCGCAGACCCCCTGCCCGTGTGGCCCTGGTCCCAGGCCGGCAGCCTCACCACGAGGCTCCCCGGGGACCCACTTACCCGTGAAGGGGTCCCAGACATGCACAGCCCCGTCACAGGTCACTACACACTGCGGGGCCTCCAGCTGGCCAGCGAAGAAGACGCTCTTGCGGTGCTGGGCATAGACGAGACGTGGCGACGTCTCGCTCGTGCCATCACCTGAGTTGTAGAGTGGCCAGAGGCGCACGGTGCGGTCCTTGCTGCCGCTCAGGAAGAAGTCCTCGCCACTGAGCGGGGCCACGCACTTGACGGCTCCCGAGTGGCCCGGGAAGCTCTGCAGGCGGATCTGGTGGAAGTGGAAGTGGGCGTCGTGCTGGCTGACGCCGATCTCGTACTGCCAGTAGGCCAGCCAGTTCCCGCTCAGCCCGTGCGCGCTCCGGGGCAGCTCCCGCTTCAGGGCGTTGTCCTCGCTCTCGCCGCCCAGGCCTCCGCCGCCAACGCCCGCCCCGGAGATGGGGCCCAGGGGCCCGGGGCTGTCGGCCTGGGAGCCGCTGGGGATCTGGATGCGGTTGCCCACTAGCACACTCCCAAAGGTCCCCGAGTGGCTGTCGTCCTGGCTGCAGGCCCCGACCGGGTGGGGGTCCCACTCGGGGCCCGTGCTGGGTGCCGTGGGCTCTGTGCTGGCCAGGTTGTGGCCGCTGGAACTGATGCTCTCCAGGTACAACCCCGCCAGTTCCCCTACCAGTTCGTGGTTAGGGATGACTTTCTGGATGATGTCACCTGGATGGGGGAGGGGGGTTTCCTGAGACCAGGGGAGACCTTGGGCAGCTGCCCCCTCCTGGCCCAAACACCTGGGAACTACGGGAGACAGACCCGGGATGTGGGAACGCTGGAGATACGGTTCTTCCTCATAAAACCGCGTTTTCCCCAGCAGAACGTGGCTTCAGGGTGTACTCAAGGCCCCTTCTGTGTGCCTGGTTCCTCTGGGTGTCAGGAGAACGGAAGCAGGAGCTTCCTGCCCTGACTTTAGAGGGGTGAGACATCTGCAGCCAAGGGCAGAGCACCTGTGTGGGGTCACGCATCCCAGCAGCCCAGACTCAGGCGTGCAGAGGACAGCTTGGTCCCGGCAGGAGGTGCAGGGGCCCACTTCTCTACCTTCCCCAGGGTCCGTTCGCCTCCTCCACCAACACTTGTGTCTGTTTACTCAACCCCTGGGACTCAGGTTCTTAGACCAGACCTAAGGTCTTCAACCCCCAGTAAATGGCCTACTGCCAGTCCACAGGTATGAAAAGGCTGAAGAAGGCTGAGCAAGCTACCTTTGCTCTGGCCCAGAAACTGGGACTTAATACTAGCTACTAACTCGGTGGTGGGGTGGGAAGAATGCGGGGCCCTCCCCGGGAAGGGACAGAGCCACGAGGCATGAGATGGGGCAGTACCCAACAGGCAGGAGAAGGGCACGTAGATGGTGTACGCCATCTCCAGGGTGAACACCTTCTGCAGCTCGTCCAGCAGAGTAGGGTCCACCAGCCGCTGCTGCCCGTCAGAGAAGGTCACCTCTGGCAGCTGGCCCTCTCCACGGCCTGCCGAATCCAGCTTCAGATCCTGTAGCCAGGAAGTTCCGGGAGTCAGCCCCAGCTATGCCCGGGCCCTGCCCACCCTGCCAGGCAATGCTGCCCACCTGCTTCTGGAGCTCGTGCAGCTGAGAGAAGACCTGGAAGAAGGTGGCCACGGGCTCACTCAGGTGCTGTTGCACCATCTCCTGTCCAATGCGCAGGCAGATGAGTGCGATGAGGCTGATGGTCTTCACACACAGCACCGTCCGGGCCTGAGCCCCACTCGGGAAGCTGGAAACAGAGCTCATGGGGCCCGGTCCGCCACTCCACAGGCCTCGGCCAGAATCGATGCAAAAATGGTCAGAGGAAGCAAGTTCCCAGACCCATGGGGCTAACCCAGGTGAGGAAACTGAGGCACGGGAAGGTGCAACTGGCCCGGGGCACCACACAGCTGTCACGAGACCCTGGACTTTTTTTTTTTTTTTTTTGCTTTTTGGGTCATATCCGGCGATGCACAGGGATTACTCCTGGCTCTGCACTCAGGAATTACTTCTGGTAGTGTTCGGGGGACCATATGGGATGTTGGAAATTGAACCCGGGTCAGCCACATGCAAGACAAACGCCCTACCCGCTGTGCTATCACTCCAGCTTCACACCTGGACTCTTAACAGGGCCACTTGACTCTCCCAGACCCCTCCCCAGTAGCCCCCTCGGCGTACCCTGTGACAAGGGAGGTGAGGAAGCTGAGCACCGGCAGCAGGACCTCGTGGCTGATGCGGGGCAGGATGTCCATGAGGGTGGTGTCCGACAGGTACACGATGATCTTCTGGGTCAGCGTCACAGCGGCCAGCAGCCCCGCCTCCTTACGGCTATTAAGTCGACTGGGACTGGAGGGCCCCCCCAGGGCCACCTAGGACCACAGGGCAGATGAGAGCCAGGCCCGGAGGCCCTGCCGCTGCCCGCCCCCAGGGCGCCTGCGCTGAGATACTGACCAGATAGCTGATGTAGGGCAAGTACTGGTAGGTGAGCACGGGCTCCCCGTACAGGCGCGCGATGTGCAGGAGGCAGCTGAGCACGGGCCCTGACACCACGTCACCCAGCACGGGTCTCTTCTGGTAGATGTTGCCAGCACTCAGCGGGGGGCTCTCTCCACTGCTCACCGTGAACTGCTGCCGGGTGGGCCCTAGCCAGGAAGGGCACCACCTTGAGGAGCTCCCAGAGGGAGGTGGGGAGGCTCACCCGGGGGCCGCCCACTGCCCTGATGGGGAACCCAGCGCCCCACCAGGGGCTGGCTGAGACAGAAAGGGAGTGTCCCCAGAGGGCAAGGGCCCATCTGGTAGACCCCGGCCGCACAGACTGCAGGACTTACCCACGTAGCATGACGTTAGCAGGCGCAGCAGGTTCCGGGCCACATGGCGAGAGGCAACCGTGGGGCCGAGCTTGGCAGAGAGCCAGCGAACCGTCTTGCAGGCTGTATCTGCAGAGCACGAGCGGACCTGAGCTCGGGAGATAACTGTGGCCTGCCCCTCCCGTCCCACAGACAGGGGCACCTGCCCCAGTCCCCGCCCCACCGTGCACTGAGCAGAGCAGGGTAGTCTGTGGGCCTCTGCTGCGAATGACAGCCCCCAGGCCTCTGCTCTCCCCACAACCTGCTCTCTGCTCCCTCTACTCCCAATCCTCTCAGTCTAAATATATTAGCCTTGGGCCGGAGAGATAGCACAGTGGGTAGGGCATTTGCCTTGCATGCAGCCGACCCGGGTTCAATCACCGGCATCCCATATGGTCCCCCAAGCACCGCCAGGAGTAATTCCTGAGTGCAAAGCCAGGAGTAACCCCTAAGCATTGCTGGGTGTGACCCAAAAAGCAAAATAAATAAATAAATATATTAGCCTTTTGTTCGGGGCGATGGGGAGAGGCTACACCCGGCGATGTTCAGGGCTTACTCCTGGCCCACACTCAGGGATCACTCCTGGAGTGCTCAGGAGCAACGTATGAGATGCTAGGGATTGAACCAGGGTCAGCCACATGCAAGGCAAATGCCCTGTCTACTGTACTATTGCTTCTTCGGTCTTTCCAAACACTTCTGGTTTTGGGATCACACCCAGCCATGCTCGGAGGTTACTCCTGGCTCTGCACTCAGAAATTACTCCTGGCAGTGTTCAGGGCGCCATATGGGATGCCTGGAGACCAAACCTGGGTCAGCTGTGTGCAAGGCAAGTGCCCTACTGCTGTACAATTGCTCTGGCACCCCACACTCTGGCTTTCCACTGATTCAAAGAACCATGACAGGGCCAAGGATGTGGCTCAACTGTTGAGTTTGATCCCCAGCACCACAGCCTCATAAGCACCACTGCATGTCATCCCAGGGCCGAGCACCAAAGCCCTGACCCAGGTCCCCTGACTATCGCTGGATGTGACCCCTATTTCACAAAGATAGGATAGGGCTGGTGAGATAAGAACAGGGGTTAAGGTGCTTGCCTTGCACATAGTTAAGCTCAGTCTGATCCACAGCCCCACATATATATGGTCACCTGAGCCCCACCAGGATGACTCCAGAGAGCAGAGCCAGGAGTAAGCCCTGAGAATGGCTAGGTGTGGCCCAAACTGCCTCCTCAAGCAAAAAGAGAGTGAAAGAGCAAGACAGTGCAAGTGAGAGAGAGAGAGAGTAAGGCCTGAGCAACAGCAAAGCAGGCAGGGCATTTGCCTTGCACATGGCTGACACACAGGCTAGATCGCCGGCATCCCATATGATCCCCGTGCAGAGCCAGAGTAACACTTGAGCACTGCTGGGTGTGACCCAGAAGCCAATTAGAGAGAGAGAGAGAGAGAGAGAGAGTACAAGCAAAGTGAAGAAGCACACAGGGGCATCTCAGAACTGTATGTGCACAAGTGGGTCCCTTTGCCTGGAAATGTCCATCCTACTGCAGACCTGGCGACCCTGACTTCCGTGGTTAGCTGCACAGGGCCACTGCTGGTGGTGGGCTTCAGGAGGTCACATGGTGCTGGGAGTCAGATCAGGGCCTCACTGATGCAAGGGATCGGATCTACCACTTGAGCCACATATTCAACTTAGCCAGTTTTCATTAGTGACCTCCTACTAATCAGCCCTCCTTTCGAGAAAGCCTTGTTCACCCCTGAAAACTAGACCCAGACCTTTGGCACATCTCGCCAGGCTCTCTCTAACAAACAGAACCTGCATTAGGTCAAGACTGTCTACTGTATGACATCTCCTCTCCTAAACACATGTTCTAGTGTGCCAGAGTGACAGTACAGCAGGGAAGGGTCTTGCCTGCATGCATCCAACACAGGTTCGATCCCTGACACGCTGTGTGGCCCTCCAACCCTGCCAGGAGTGATCCATGAGCTCAGAGCTGGGAGGAAGCTCTGAGCACCGTTGGGTGTGGCTCAAACACCAAAAGTAAAACTAAATAAACACTCCCAGGGGACAGCCCAGGGTCTGGGTCATGCATCTGAGTGACCCACCGAAGGCCACACAGGGAGTTCAGCAGATTCTGCTGAAACAAAGGTGTCTGAAACCCACCTCGGGGCTCTGGACTCACCTAGAAGGATCTTCTGCTCTTTGTCCTCTGACTGCTCCGTCAGCGGTTCCTCTTCTTCCTCCTGGTCTGTCCCGCCGCCGCCAGTCACCACCGTCTCCATGGACAGCACCGTGTCAGCGAGAGTGAGCTCAGCCCCCCCAGGGCCCTCCTCCGGCTCGCCCTCGCCCTCCTCCTCCTCCTCCTCCAGCACCACGCAGCCTTCCTCCTCCTCCTCCTCCTCCTCGTCCTCCGATCCCTCACTCTGCTTCAGGTCCTGGCTGCTGTCACCCGACCTGAGGCTGCTCTTGTCCAGGGGTGCGGCCCCCTCGTCTGCCACCCGCTCCTCGCCCAGAGAGGTCTCGCTGGTGCTGCTCTTGTCGCTCAGCCGGCCGAGACTCACGGCCTCGGCCTCCTGGGGCTGTGGAGATGCAGTCACATAGAGGCCAGTCTGGAAGTCCTCGGTCTCGGGGAGGTCAGCCTGGTCGCGGAAGCTGACGCCAGACGTGTAGTCCGGGAGCCCCAGGCCTGAGGCGGCAGCCGGCTCCTCGTCCATCTGAATCTCCTCCCCGAAGGCACAGGAGCTGGGTCTGGCCCCGGGGAGCTCGTTCTCTTCGTCCTCAGCAGCCCCCGTCAGGCCCTTGCTCTCCTCTGGGGAGGCCTCCACCCCGGCCAGCACCTGTAGGACGTGGGGCAGCAGGTGCACGAGGAAGGCCTGCAGCCCCAGCCGCACCATCAGCTGGGCCACGAAGCAGTCGGTGTACAGGTAGAAGCGGCCGTGGAGCCGGCAGGGGCTCTCGTAGGCCCCGATGAGAGGCTTCAGAAGGTACTTATTGGCATTTTTGGGGCCCAGGGCCTTGGCCACGGGCTCAAAGAGATACCAGGCTGTGTAGACGGCCGTGTGCTCCTCGGACATGAGGGACAGCACAAAAGGCAGCAGGATCTCCAGGCCCTCGGGGGTGATGTCACTCAGCACAGCACCCAGATGCTGCCACAGGCTGAAGACCAGCTCGCGGCCCTGGGCCTCGTCCTCCACGCGCCGTGACTGGTACAGCAGGATGAACTTGTGCAGCGCTGGGAAGTAGGGGGGAAAGGGGACCACAGAGCTGAAAGGGCTGAGGAGCTGGGTCGGGCAGGGGGGGGGCAGCCCCTGGGAGATGGGTCTGTAGGCAAACAAGGGGTCTGGCTTGTCCTGGGGACCCACGAGACCTTCAGGTCCGCTCAGCTGCAGGAGCACATCCAGCACGGGCTGAAGAGACACAGGGATCTCCTTGGGGTGACGCGTGCAGAGTCCCCGAACCGCCTCAAAGCGCATCCACAAAGGCGCATCTGGTTGCAGCGTTCGGACACGGGTGGCAAATACCATCTCGGCCAGCAGGACCCCCAGCGCCTGCATGTCCCGGTGGAAGAGGTCCCGGAGCTGCACTGGGGAATGGAGTTGGGGCTTCTCTGCCGCCTCCAACCGGCCCCCGAGGCCTTTGGTCAGGAAGTGGCCGAGTTTCTCCAGTTCTTCCAGAGCCTGCAAGGGGTTGAAGCCCTCTGGGAGAAGGATTTTCCCCTCCTCCCCGTCCCCCAGGTCTGCTCCCGTCATTTTGCTCCTGCGGCTAGGACGAGAGGCAGAGGCCACCGAGAAAGAAAGGAGGCCCGGGGGGCCCTGAAGGGAGGTGGCGGAGGAAGAGGAAGGCGAGGAGGAGGCGGAGGGGCCCAGCTGGTCAGCAGCTTTCCCGGCTAGGGCGATGGAATCCAGAGCTTCAGTGGCCTGCTCCAAGTCATCCTCCCCTGCCACCTGCCGGTCCCTGCTCCAACCAGTCACACACGGGGTAGCCTCCAAAACCAGTCTACCGGCCCCGTTTGGAAGCTGTCCTGGGAAGTCCTCCCGGCCAGTGCTCTCCTGGATGGTCTGGAACAACAGCCTGGGGATGAGTGGAGGCTCAGGGGCCAGGGTAGGTGCCCCGGCCAGGCGCCGGGGATGAGGCTGGTCAAAGAGCTGCACCACGCCAAAGCTGGTGAGGTGCGTGTGTGCGTCCACCAGGTGCAGACACACATTCTTCTCCTTCACGGCCTCCTTGCCCTGGAGCTTGTAGCCGAAGGTGAGATCGATCCAGTGGTGCAGGTCCTGCGACACCTCGCGGCTCTCCAGCAGTGCCCGGTGGGCTGCCACAAACTCCTGGCCAGAGCTGCACCAGGACGGCACGTCCAGATCCGGCATATCAGGGTGGATGGAGCAGAAAATAGAGGGGTCGGTATAGAACTCGGGGATGCATTCGTCAGGAGTCCAGTTCTGCATCCGCTCCATGCTGGCGGGGTACTCGTGGGGCTCCCACTGAGCCCTCACATGTCCGCAGAGCACGGAGCGGGGTGTGCGCCGCGCCTTGTACACATAGTAGGTGATGTCCGAGAGCACGTCAGAGATGTGGTGAGGCACGTGGGGGGGCTCCCCACCCCCAGTGCCACCTGCGACGAACGCCTGCCGCGTCATCTCATAGGTGAAGTCCAACTGCTTGTCCCCCTTGTTGAGACGGAACTTTGACTTGCACAGGTCCCGGAAGCGCCCGTGCGGTGTGGTGAAATCCACCACCCAAGGCAGCACAGGGTGGTAGTTGGGGTCCCCCTGCCGGCGTCCCGCCAACCGATTCAGCTGCATGAGGTAGTGGAAGTTGCTGATGCGGCCGTGAACCCAGTCCAGCACAAGGCCCCTGAGTTCCTCCTGGCAAGTGACACTCCCAACGGTCCGTTCCCCTGAGTCTGCAGGCTTAATGGCCGGCCCGGTCCTGCTTACCGGGATATCCCGGTCCTCATCCTCCTCAGGCCTCTCATAAGCACTCAGGTCCAGCCGGAGCTCACTGCACAGCTTCTCATCCACTGCGATGTGGTACAGAGATAGGGCCCCACAGGCAAGTCCCTGGCGGTGACAGGCCTCCATGGCCCGCAGCACGCGGAAGAGAATGAAGAGCACCTTGGCTTGGCTGTTAGTCAGTTTGGCAGGGCTGAAGGTGACCACATCATGCAGGGAGAACTGCATGTATGGATGGAGTACGTAGAGCATCTCTGGGGATTCCAGCAGGGCCTCAGCTCTCAGAAGGCTGGGACAGGCAGGGCTGCCCCGCGGAGGGCAGGAACCATCTCTGATATAGGATGGGCACGGAGTGGCTTCCCCCAAGGGCAGGAACGGGCAACCATAGACCCTCTGAAGAGCCTGTCGGACTGAGTCCAGGGCAGGGCCGGCCAAGGGGGGAGGACTATGGCTATAGGGCTGCCCGTAAGTCTGATAAGCATGGTGCCATAGGTTCCGGTAATTCTGGGCAGCCACATCCCGCATGAAGCGATTGAGGGTCTCCGGGCTGCCCGAGACGTCCTCGGGGGGCAGGCCACCGCCCAACGGGTAAGCCAGCCTCCGTTTCCGCAGCCCGTGCACCTCCACACGCGTCCAGCCCGGAGGCAGCCTCTGCACTGAGCGCTGCAGGAGTGTCCTGACTTCCGCCTCGCCCAGCCCCTCGGCCCGGGGACAGGGGCCCGGGGGCAGCCGGCGCTCGCGGATGCTGGCCAGCCAGCGTGAGGGCACGAGAGCCACCACGTGGGTGCCTCCTGGGGCCGGGGCCAGCTGCCGGGCATCGATGTTGAGGTCCCGCTCCACTCTCTGGAGCAGTTCCTGCATGTCCGGGTTCGGAGGCGGGGACCATCCCGGGGCCGCCGCGCTGGGGGCAATTTCCCGCCGCTTGCTCCCCAGGGCCATCCCCTCCAGGACACCTGGGGGCAGCGCGGGGCGGCGGCTTCCGGGGTGCCGGGCCCGGCGCGCTGCGCGGGCCGAGGGCCAGGGGCCGGGCCGGGGGCGGCCGGGGCGCGCAGGGGCCGCAGGACGGGAGAGCGGGGACACCCTTACCCCTGCGCAGGGTCCGGCGCTCCAGCGCGGCGCGGCGGGGCAGAGGCAGCGGGGCGCCAGCGCCTGGCTCCGCCGCGACGGGTCAGCTGACGCAGCTCACGTGACCGCCCGGCACGGAAACAACCGCACGTGGCTGGACTGGGCGCGCCGACCCCGCCTCCCGCCGCCCGCCCGGCTCCGGGCCCTGCTCCCGGGCCCCCCAACCCCCTCCCGGCCCCGGCCTGCGGCGGCCGCTCCCCCTCCCTCCCCGCCGCGTCCCGGCCGCTCCGGAACGCCCCGCGGAGGGAGGGAGGCTCCGTCCAGAGACCCCAGTTTTTAACGATCGGTTCTGCCTCCCCCTCCAACCTGCTTTTACAGAGGCGACCCCTGGGTCCAGTATAACTCTCCCTCCACGACTGGGGGGCTTGTGGATTCAGATTCTTTCCGCGCCTCCTTTGGGTGCTAGCGCGACAGTACAGCGGGTAGGGCGCTGCCTGGCACATTTCCTATGATCCTCTGAGCCTGCCAGGAATAAGCCCTGAACACTGCAGGGTGTGGTACCAAAAGAAGGAAGGGAGGAAGGAAGGAAGGGAAAGCAACTTGGAACTTCCCCGGGTTTTGCGGAAGAGACCCCAGAGCACCAGGCGGGGCCCCACTGCACCTCAGCACTGCAGGGTGTAGCCCAAAAACAAAAGGAGCTTTTAATTTTCCAAAACATTGCATGGGTAATTTTCATTCGGGCCCTCACAATAAGCCCTCTGCGAGGCAGGGAGAGCTTTTATTACTGTTTATAATTTGCAGTGGTGATAACCAAGAGCCACCACAGACTTGGCTAAGTGATAAAACAGAGACTTGCTGCCCTGGGGCCCTTCCCCCCCCCCCCCCACACACACACACACAACTCCTTAAGACCTTTCTTTTAAAAATCTTTTTTGGTTTTTAGACCACACCCTGCGATGCTCAGGACCTATTACTGACTCTCAGAGATTGATCCTGGGGATATCAGGAGACCATATGGGTTGTCTGGGATCAAACCCTGGTCAGCTGCATGCAAGGCAAGCAGCCTACCTCCAGCCCCATCATTTAAAATAAAAATGCTCCATAGCTCAACGGGCTGAGCACATGCATGCTTTTGCATGCAGGATGTCTGGGTTGGGAACATAAACATACACATATGCATGAGCTGGTATGGGAACATCCCCCAACCCCCTTCAATTAGGAGGGACATATGCACACATACATGTGCAAACACGGACCAGCATGAGCACCTCCTCTGAACAGAGTTGGGAGTAGCTGTCAAGCACAGCAGGGTGTGACACCAAAATAAGTAAGAGAGATTTAAACTTCTGGGGCTGGAGAGTGCTCTTCAAAATGCAGGAAGTCTGGGGGCTGGAGCAATAGCACAGCAGGTAAAGTGTTTGCCTTGCGTGCAGCCGACCTAGGTTCGATTCCCAGCATCCCATATGGTCCCCCGAGCACTGCCAGGAGTAATTCCTGAGTGCATGAACCAGGAGTAACTCCTGTGCATCGCCGGATATGACCCAAAAAGCAAAAAAAAAAAAAAGCAGGAAGTCCCAGTTCCGGCTCTGGCACTATAGAGATCCAGGAGCAGCCCCTGAGCACCATAGGATCCTCCCTGCACCCCCCAATTTATTTTAATAAAAATCTAGGCCATCTAAGAGAAGTGGCCCAGAAGCTTGGAGTTCTTGGGAGGAAATGTCTACGGCCCACTTCCTGTTCAAAGGTCTGCAGCTGCCTTGAGGCTGCCCACTGTGGTTAAAGCTTGCAGACAAGGTGGCTGGGGGGAGGATGCAGGAAGGAGCAGACCCCAGAGAGCTGATCCCCAGAGGACACAGACCCTTCAAACATCTTGCTGCTCATGCACCTGCAGAATAGTTTAGACTGTTTTCCACAATGAAATCACAGGTTCAGGTTTGAGCCTTTGATTCCTGAGTCTTGCTGCTAGGAAAGTTGGCCTCAAGCAGAAGCTGGTTGTGGAGGGTTCGAGGGTACAGAAGGGCACTGAAGGGAAATGGAAGTGTTGGGACCAGGAGGCTGGCTCAGTGGCAGAGTACCATAAATCCCACCCCAAGGATCCTCGGCACCATAAAGTATGCGAGCTCTAGTGCACCTCCTTGCAGAAACAACACAAGGAAGGGAGGGAGGATCCTCCAAGGGGCCGCTGGATTCCCGTGTGCTCAGTCATGCCACTCCCTCCAGCAATGGCTGACCACCATCCATCATGGAGCATGGCCCAGGAGCCAGGCCTCAGACTAAGCACTTGCATTCTTATTTGGTTTCATTCTTACCACAACCCTAAGAAGAAGATAGATATTTTGTGTCCAAGTAGAATAGTTTCATTTTAGGAAAGTATGAGAGACAAAGAGATGAGGAAAAGAGAACATGGGCTTCTCCAGAAGAGAAAAGTCATCGTACACATCTCAGATTAAGCTGTGGGTGAATCTCCAAGATAGAGAATGCTTGCCTGAAGAAAATATTTTACCTCATTTTAGTTTAGTTTTTTTTTTGGGGGGGGGGGCTAGGGGGGCGGAGGAGTGGAGACACCTGGCAATGCTCAGGGCTTACTTCTGGTTCTGTGCTCAGAGATCACTCCTGGTGGTATTCAGGGGATTTTATACCAGTGTTGGAATCAAACCCAGGTCAGCTACATGCAAGGCAAGCACGCTACCTACTGTACTTTAGTTCCGGCCTCATTTTATCTATTTTAGCATGGGGAAGTTGATTACTCTTGGTGACCTGCCTCCGTTCACAAATCTAGGCGATGGCAGAACCGGAATTCAAACCCCACCCATCTCATTCTAAACAAATTTTACTTTTGTTTATTTCATTTATTTTTATTTTGGGGCCACACCCCACAGTGTGCTCAGAGTTTACTCCTGGGTTTCTGCTCAGGGATCACTCCTAGTAAGCTCAGGGGACAGTATGTGGTGCCAGGGATCCAACTCAGGTTGGCTGCTTGCAAGGCAGTCGTCCTACCTCCTGTACTATCACTCTGCCACCCCCTTGTCTCATTCTAATACCAATGTTCTCTCTACAGCTTAGTGATGTATTTTTTTTTCCACCTAGGAAATGGTGTATCTTCATAATGTCAACTCCCCAAACTTAGTCTGAGAACCTAAGGCCAGAGGATGAATTTTGATTAACAGGAAGCAGTTTCTGCTTCTCGGTACCAAGAAAATTGTGTCACTTGATTTTTGCTCCTCTAAATTTATCTAGTCCTAGCAGGCATTAATTTTTCTTTCCGCAAGTCTGTGTGTGCCCTGCCCTCTAGTGGCTTTTATTTGCAATGCATCAATGACCTTGAGTGTAACTAAGCTTAACCTCTTCAAAATTCTTTCCTTCCCTTGAGTAGGGATGCCCTTGCTGGGTCCAGTTGCACTGAAATATTGTTTGTTTTTGTTGTGGGGGTCATACCAGAGGTGCTTAAAGGCAGCTCCCAGTGTGCTCCTGGGGACCGTGCAAGGACCTTGGGATTATGCTCTGGGCCTTTGAGCCACTAGGGGCTCTGCACTGAGTTGGGACATGTCACGGTCCTCCCATTGTTCATCAATTTGCTCGAGCGGGCCCAGTAACATCTCCATCGTGAGACTTGTTGTTACTATGTTTGGCATATTTGACTACGTCACGGGTAGCTTGCCAGGCTTTGCCGTGCGGGCAAGATACTCTCAGTAGCTTGCCGGGATCTCCGAGAGGGGCGGAGGAATCGAACCCAGCTCAGCCGGGCTGGCTTTGTGCAAGGCAAATGCCCTACCGCTGTGCTATCGCTCCAGCCCTAGTTGGGACATGAGGTGGAGAGAATGATACCTTTCTCTTCCTAACCTCTAAAGCTATGGTTTACGCTTTATGACTTATTTCTGATTTAGTTGTCTATGGTGAGACCCGGGAATCCAATTTTTTTTTTCTGTGCCAGGAATCAAACTCAGGGCCTCACACATGGCAGGCAAGGAGCCTAACACCGTGCCTCACCTTAGGCTCAGGAACCTGAATTCTTATTTATTTTGGTTTGGGGGCAACACTTGGCAATGCTCAGGCCTTACTGCTGTCCCTGTGCTCAAGGATCACTGTTGGCAGGGCTGAGGAGACCTTAAGTGTTGCCAGGATTGAACATGGTTGATGCATGCAAGGCAAGCGCTTTACCTGCTGTACTATCCATCTGGCCCAGGAATCTGAATTTGTAACAAATACCCCAGGTAATTTTAACGCAGGTAACTTGAAGGCTATCTCTTGAGATATGTACATATATAATATACATATATGTGCATATATATACACATGTGTAACAGCTTTATTAATTTAATTATAATTTATTTTATTAATTATAAATTAATTTAGAGGGTTTTCTGGGGGTCACATCTGGCGGTGCACAGGGGTTACTCCTGGCTCTGCACTAAGGAATCACTCTCAGTGGGGCTCAGGGGACCATATGATGCAGAGAGATTGAACCTGGGTCACAGATACGTGCAAGGCAAGCACCTTACCGGCTGTACTATCATTCCAGCCCCTCTGTAATAGCTTTATACCCAAATATTCCCTAAATCCCAGTCCAAGCACCCTGCACTATGGGGGATCTGGGACCAAATTATCCATATCCCTCCATCAAACTCAATATTGAGTTTCTTGGGACCTGAGAGATAATACTGGAGGAAGGTACTTACAGCTGGCAGACCCCGGTTCAATCCCAGCACTGCATGTGGTCTCCTAAGCACTGCCAGGGGGCACTCCTGAGCACAGAAACAGGAGTAGTCCCTGAGCACTGTTGAATATGGTTCCCATGGGGGCCATATCCAACAGTACTCATCTCTCATATATATGTATATATAATTTATTTATATATGCACCATGAAGCCTAGGTTTGGCCCTTGGCAACACATAATCCTTTGAGATTATGTGCTGCCACTGTATATATTTATATATGTATATATACATATACATATATATATATATAGAGAGAAATTCTTGGAGATTGGCTGGTTCTGCCCAGCAAATAGCCAAAATGAGTGAATTTGTCTCTTGATGATCCGAAAAGGAGAGGAGATTCATTAATGGTCCAGCTGATAGGAACTGTGTTGAATCAGGGCTTCTTTGGGGGCAGGGTGTGTGTTTGGGTCACACTGGCAATGCTCAGGGGCTTGGTGCTTGTGACTTGCTTCTGCTGGTGCTCAAAGGATTATGTGG